GTCCGTAATCCGGACTCGTCGGGACTTCGGCAATTCTGGATTAGATTTTTCCGGATTATAGATCATCAATTTAAATCTGGTAAGATGACTTCAGAAATTATACAATTAAAATATGAAACCATAATTTATGAAATAAAGAGCAATATGATCTAAAGGGTTCAAAATTTACACAAAAAAAAAAAAAAAAAAAAAAGCTTAATATTTATTTGTTTACTTTATTAAACATTTCTTTCATTAGGTTGTTTAAGTTGCTTCTTTTTTTGTGCTATATTTCTCTTTAATTCTATAAAGACTAATTTCTTGTTCGTTACAAAGTTCCACTGTCCAATCCTGTAATTGCTGTGTCGAGAATACCGACTAACTTGTCAATCAAAATTTTTTCATTTTTAATAACCTCTCTGTCACTATCAAAAGCAATATTTTCTGGATCTAGAACCATACTACAGATTTCACCATCTGTTAATTGATAATTGGGACATTACCGTCGCAAAGAAAAACTTCTGTTATATCATCTTCATTTATTACTGCTTCTCCACATTTCTTTACAAAATCCAATAACTGGAAAATTTCACCTTTAGTTTGCGATGTCCAAAAATCTTCAAATTCGCAGCTATCATCTTCATTGTCCTCACCATGAAATATGGTAGCTGGCCATAAATTATGCCAAGCATTTTTTACGTATCTGGAGACACATCCTCCCAATGTGCATGCACATGCATAAAGCATACAAAAAAAAAGGTTTGTGGCTTTGAGGTCCGGATTATAGATTATTCCAGATAATGGACGTCCAGATTATGGACTTTGTACTGTATATATATTGGTAATATCAAGCCCCTTTGCTTGTGCATCAAATTTTTAAAAGCATTCTAATTTAATACTAGTTGGAGCTCAGTTTGATTTTAGCTTATAAAATCAAACTGAGCTCCAACTAGTATTAAATTAAATTAAGTATGTTTGTTTCGTTAACTTATAACTTGCTCTGATACTTGGTGATTTTTTTCACTAAGTTTGAAGCCATTTAAATCAATAAAGATCTAATCTCAGAAAATATCTAAAAATTAACAACCAGGATTCAAGTAACATATTTTAACATATGAAAAAAGTACTTTAAAGCAGATTCTAATTTTAATGGACTGTTTAGATTTTTTTGTAAAGCTTATGCATAAAATGCTTTACAAAAATCCTAATTTACAGTATCAGGTTTAGTGAATACGAATAGATAATGAAAAATTTGGATTCTAATTTTGATAACATGTTATAGTTATTGCATAAGTTCTTTTATTGGTATCACTGAAATATTAACTTAAATTTTGTACTCTATGTATTTAAAAAATGCTAATTAAGAAACAATGAAAATCTCTTTCAAGTCTTATATATTAATCATAATGTAATGAAATATATATCATCAATTTGATGTAATGTAAATATACAGTATGATGTAAATTACAACACAAATCTAAATATCATTTTCATTTAAAAATTAGAGTACTATATTGTAGAAATCCTTAGTTTTTTTTTGTTTGTTTTTTTTTTTTAATGAAATTTTTTTTTAATTTAATGTTTTTTTAATGCTTGGAAATTTTATTTATTATTTAGTTAGTAATATTGAGAACTGAAATCATCTGTGTTATATGGCAGCATGTTTCTTTTCAAGCTTGTTTTCATATGACTGAGTTATTTAGCAGTAGAGTTGAAGCATATTTTTTTCTTAGAATTTTCAGTCTTCATATCAAGTGTTTATAGTGAACAGAATTCCTTTTAACCATTTAAATAATAGATTAGAATAATAAATACACATTGACACTTTGAAAAATGTAGAAATATATTTTGTTTGTTAAAAACCAATCCAAGTTTTAAATCTGCATTTTATTTTTAATGAATTTTAAGATTATTGTGTCTTGCCTTTAAAAAGTTTCTAACTTCCCCAAGAGTATGATGTAAATTGCACTGTTTCTGAATATTTTATACATATATTTAAGTAATGCATGTGATTTCTACTGCATGCAAAGGATGAATCATTATTTTTCAAATTTAGTAAATAATCATTGTTTTCACAATTGAAGTATCAAAGAATCAGTCATATTTCCTTTCAGTTTTGTTGCATAAAAGTTTTTGGTAACAAATCCTGTTTTCTGTTTTGTTCGGTAGTTCTCTTTTGTTACCCTATTCTTCTAAAAGGGAAGATTTTAACACCTGGAGGGTCCTGAGAGGGTATTGATGTTATACTGTAGCTCTTCCTAGAGAATACTAAAGATATTCTATAGACTTTAGATCTGGCTACTTCACTGAGTACACCATATAGTGAATACTCTCTTCATATAGAAAATAATCGACTTGCTTAGCTCTGTGCAACTATATATTATCATGCACAGAAATAAAGTCTTCTTCATCAGCTCCGTACATAAGATCCCAAAACCTCATCCCTTTACTGCTGCATCGAAGACATGCAGTTATATGTAGCTGCTCGGCATAATGCGTTCCCACATAAGGATTCCACTTCCATCAAAGTAGCTAATTTCTCGTAGATTTGGAAAATAGCTATTTTGAATCAGTGATAGAAAGAGTGTATTTAATTTTGGACATCAGTATGTAATATTTAAAATTCTTTGTCAAAAAATTAAAAAACGTTCCTTGTTGCTGTTCCTTATCATTCTGTTTCATCTAGTAAAGAAATAAGCTAAATTGTCTCAATATGATGCAGAAAATTTATGATATAGCTTTATTGGAAAATTGGCCAAAAATGTTAAAAGTTTTTTAAATTCAGTAAAACTATAATCTACCAGGTAATTTAAATTTACTAAACTGATTCCAAACAAAATGTGGGGTTCCTTATTACAAGTATTTTATGGTTTTGCAACAGGATGAAGGTGAAAGGAAATATGCTGTTGAAATTTTCAGGGAAAATCATACCTCAAAACTTTCATTACTGGAGTGTTTGAAAATGTCATCAAATTTAATGAAAACTGTTAAATGTCATCAAATAGGCAAGCAGATTTGTTTTGAAGATCTGGCAGATTTTAATGGGTTATAAGTCTTTGGTTTTAATGTTGTGATAAGAGCTGTGATGTGTGTCCAGAACTGAAAATATTACAAAATAACAAACCAGTTAAATACAGAAATATAGCATTACTATCCACAAATAACACTTATCCATAATATATAAGAAACATACACAAAATTAAAAAAAAAGTGTAATAACTAGTAAATATATAGTAATATAAAATCAACTAGAACATTATTTTTTTTTAATGCTCGAATATATACAAGCAATAATATCTAATCAGTTTATTAAAAGATTCCTGTGAAATTGAATAAGTGTGCTGAGGTAAAAAGGCTTAATTATTCTTAAAAATTTGTCAGTAAACAGTTTAAAATATATGTTTATTCGATCAATAAATTTTCCTTTACATTATACACATATAAATGGATTTGGAGTTTGTTAAATTTCATGTATTTCATTATATGGGATGTTAAAAAGTGACATGGTATAGAGGTCTAAAAATTTATGATTGTAAATAAGCATTTATATTTTTTACACCAATATATACTTTCCTTTTAATAATTTCCTTTCCTTTTAATAGCTATCAGCAAAATTGAATAAGTTAACTGCAGAATTAAAAGATGAAAAAGAGGTATTTTTCTTTTTTTTTTCCTAAATTCAGTGTTTGAAATTGTAAAATTAATTGTACAACTTAAATTGTACACTAATATAGCATTTTGAATAAAAATAGCTCTGAATACTTCTTCTTCTTCTTCTTCTTTTTTTTTTTTTATTTTTTTTTTTTTTTATTTTTGAAATATTCATTCTTTTTTTTTATTTTTGGTCTTTTTATTTATAATTATACATTTAAAAGATCAAATTATTAGTATGCCAGCTTCAAGTTTATTGTACATAGGAATTTGTGTAATTTAGGATTTTAACCCATTTATATCAGTGCTGTATAGTTTAAGAATTCATAATCATGTATTTTACCTAATGTATCTAGTTATTTCTTAAAAAATAAACATTGATTAAGTGATATCAACATGTAGCATTGGGTTGAGTGGATATTCTTGTTTTAAGATTAACCTCAATATTTCTCAGCAAATAGTTCTTGTTTGTAATATTATTTATGCATAAGTCTCCAACATTGCACATCACAGGCAAATGTGCCTAAATTATTTTATATGATATAAAGAGATATATAGATATATGTTTAAATCAGGAAAGATAAAGGCAATGTTATGTATATTATGATACTTTCTGATTTTCCTTCACACCCTGAAAAATATTTGAGGCAGTGTGCTGTGTTGCCACAAAATAGGCAACCTATGACATCTCCAAAATGTAATTATGTGACAACTTAGGTATGCTTGCACATGCAGTCGACAAGTGGGGGTCATTACTGTTTGGTTTTGCTGCATTTATGATGGTCATTAGTATTTATTTTTGCAGAACTGAGTGCATTTTTATTTCTTTTAATTAATCGTAATGGGGCTGTGGATTTTACCTGCAGGTAAAAAAAGCATTGCATTTCTTCAGAAATATGCCATTTTGTCTGATAGCAAAAGCTGCACTTTATGTACGATTGAATTTTATAGATCAAAATTTGTGTGCCAGTGACCAATTTCTGTAATTAGCTGATGCTCTTCAAGTGAAAACTGATTGCTGTATACATGGGAAAACAAGAATATGTGCAGTCCCAAATTTGTGCAGTTTTCTCTCTCTCTCTCTCTCTTTTTTTTTTTTTTTTTTTTTTAAGTCCAAATGGGCAATTTGCACTTAAGGACTATTATTTTCATTTAGGCATTTTGTGTTGGTTCACTATAAATGTCCGATTCACTTTTTAAATTGTTGCCACCAAATATTATCACCCTGTATTATTATATTTAAAAAAATTAAATAATAAAGAATCTGCATAAATGTGTATATGTTTCTCGCATTGGGATAAAACAACGGTCATTAGAGCCATCCAATTTTTAATAACATACGTTTCCACCTGAGTATAGTTATCTGGAAGCCCAAATTTGGAATTTATTATCCATTTTATATTTTGTAAAATTTTAACGAGTTTTTTTTTACCAGACTCGATTATTTAAAAGCAAGCAATGGAACGTACGAAAAAACACTTTATCTCCAGCGTGTGAGATGTGTATCGGAAATTCTAAAGATATGCTCATTTTTTTTATTTTATTTCCCCTCCCCCCCCCCCGATATTGCTGTTGAACTGAATTTTACAGTTTAAGTGCGAAAAATGTGATGTTTAACAACTAAAGGTAGCACACAAAACATTAAAAAATGCCCCTTTGGACGTAATTTTAAATCTGAAAACCTTTCAGATTTTTTTGATTTTTTTAAAGCAAAAATAGACTGCTGTGTACATGCAGAGAATGACAGTGTATGCAGTGCCTATTTGTGATGCTATGACGAATTTCTGCAGTTTATTTATTGTATATGGGGAAAACTGTACTCAGAAAATGTATTTTTAATTTTGTTAATTGGTTCTTGTTTTATGCAATTCTTATTTCACCATCATTTTTGAAAATGGCTTTTGTCTTGTGTTTCTTAGTGTGGTAAAAAATTGATCACCAACACTTGTGACGTTTCAGTAGGGGAGTGCAGATTATCAGGAAGTATCTATTTTATTTATGCATTTGTGAATATCAATAACTACATGCATTTCAGATAAGCATCTGCATGTACTGTTTTCAATAACTACTTTTCTTTGTTATATTATTATTTCCTTTTTTATCTTTTAGCAAGTTTCTCTCTCTTTATATCATTGTTCTGTTTAGAAAGATATGATTCATAAAATGTCTCTCATTTTACTATTTTAGAAAATTATAAATAATAGATTGAACTCTATCATTCTACAGTGTAAAAACATTTTATGGTTTAAGCTCTAACTGTTCGTTATTTTTTGTATACATAGATGAACAAGTGCCTTAGGCAGAATCAAACTCTGTGGCAGCAAAAATTAAGTATTTCTGAAAAGGCATTGAAGGAAATTAGAGATGCCAAAGATAAGGTATATGTTATATAATGTGATATCATTGTAAATTTATTACCAAACTTGAATTGTGTATATTTATTAAAAGAAAAAAAAATGTGTGGCATTACAGTAACATTAATTTTTTTTTCCTTAGTGAGCATTTATGATAGCCATTTGATTGTTATAACTCGTGTTCATAAGCAGATTCCATCAGACTTGGGGAGTAATAATATGGTGTGGTTTGCAGCATCGTTCATCATTATATTGCACTTTTTAAGCAATATTTGTATCTGAATTTTCAATCAATATTTGTATATGGCATGTTCTCTTAATGCCTTTCATGCATTAACTCTAATATTTTGTCACTCTAACGGTTTGGCAGTGATTACATTTTGAACATTTGTTTTTAAACAACTTGTTTGTTTTGTAATATTTTGTAAATTTTGTCCCAGTTGGAGAATGGTTATATGATATTAAATGTGTACTCTTAACTGTAGCATAATTTTTTGAATGAAGGAGTGGTTAGCTGATTACTTCTAAAATTATAGCCACTGCATATCGTAGTTGTGTATCTTTGACTCCCTTATAAAAACTATATCAAAACATGTCCCAGAACATGTCTGTGACTGTTAATTATGTGGGAACATAAACAAAAGTTTCAGACACTTAAAATGTCTTATTTGTTAAAGCAATAAGTGTTCCAGATTAACTAGTTATCTTATGAGATGTTATAATGGTTCTAAGGTTCTTAAGTTCATTTATATAATTAATAAATCAATTAATTATTAAATATACCCCTTGAAAATTATGAGGCTTATCTGTCATTTCTTCATTCTTTCTGGGTGAAAATCAAATTCTAATTAGAATCAAGATGCTAGAGATTCCATGTAATGTTGGATATCATCAATTAATAACAAATGTAATTTCACAACATTTAAAAGAAGTGTAGTTCTGTTAGTTTTGTTTCTCTGTTAAGTGTAATGCTCAAAATATGTGTTTAGCACATGAAAAAGGTGGATATATAAAAGGGTAATTATAATTTAATCTTAAATTCAATATTTTAACCCTCAGATTGGCATGACCTCACCGCCTCTAGCTGGTCGTAAGATTTTTTTAAAACTTGGTTTGTATTTGCTTATAATTTTTAATATTTTGCTTTCTTCCTTTCTTTAATGATGTAAATGTCATCTTAATGAATGGAAGTACATAAAAGCAGAGACTAAAGTAAGCAGTTATACAGATTCAGATAATGCTGTTTAAATACAAATCTTCCTGAGCTATGCCACTTAGAAGGCTATTGTGCAAAATTACACAACGTTTTAAAAATTTCAAAAAGTAACCTCTTGAAAGTTAAAATATGAGGAAATGTGTTATGTGTATTTAGTGTGTTGAAATAATTATTATACTTTGTTTCTCATTCTTTTTATACCCAAAATTTGCTAGATAACTTATGTAATTTGAAGGTTAAGGGAACAGCAACCAAATTTAATGTAGAGGAAGAACTTTGATTTTTTTTTTTTTTTTTTTTTTTTTTTATGTCAAGGAGAAATGGAAAATAAATATGACAAATTAGATCAAAATTCTGCCAATAATTACCTCATGTTTCATTTGATCACCTTTGCATTAAATCATGTCGAACCGAATACCTGTGATATTACCAAGGAGATAATTTTAAATTTAAGATCTTTGCATATTTATCTAAGTATCAGTTCGCTGAATTCTGTTTTATAAAAAGATGCTGTATATTTTGTGCCATGTTATGTAGTGTGTGCAATGAGGTGTTTCCTGAAAATTATAACTTTTGCATAAAAAGAATAATATTAAAAGTTCAAAATTCGTTGGTTTTATGTTGCATATACAAAAAGATTTTTAAGATGTTCAGGGATGATTAGAGGGAATTTTTAATATACTAGATACAGAAAAACAGCTGTAACTTCAGTGATCTGGAATTGTAGAATCAAAGTATTAATGAAGAAATAGAGGAAATTGACCCTAATGATGCAGCAAAAAAGGGAGAACTGTGACAATATTGGAATTATACATAAGGTTAAATATTATCAAAATTAGTATGAACATCTTTGAAAATAGAAATTCTAATGAATAGCAAATATCAGCAACCAGAAAATGAGTAGAAAGGGAAAAACATTCAATATAACCACAAAAGAAAACTTTAAAATGCCTACCATTTAAGTGGTAGTTCTAAGGGGAAAATGATGTCTGTATCAATCCAGATATGTGTCAGTCTAATACAGAATATATATATGTTTTTTTTTTTTTTTTTCAAAATCCAGTCATTTTAATAAGATCATTTGATTTTATGATAAAAACTAAATTTTTATGTATTTGTGAGTATTCTTCATGTTATGAAACTGACCTCCCCTTAAAAGAAGCCCTGTTATAGCTACAGAAATATTTGTCTTGACTTACATTACTGGTCTGGGAACTAATTATGTGACTTTTGATTATTACTGTAATCATCTAAATGGTGAATACTAAAGCTTTCTTATGACAGAAAAGGTCAGAAAGTGCTGGCTAATACATTTTATTATAAAATGATGAACATAAGCTTTGTGAAACTTCTTATAATGCACTTTTTTATATTTCAGAATTTGTCTATCTCTGCATAATTGAATATCAAACATTTCTTAATAATTTTATTGAATATTTTATCTACATATTCAGAATTTTATATCAGATAATTTGATGAAAAAGGAGTAGAGCTTTCTTTTTATTTAAATTCTTTTTAAAAATTATGGATATTTAATCCATGTACTTTTCTTATTTTTCAGGAAATTCTTGATTTGCAAGAACAAGTACGAGATCTGATGTTTTATTTTGATGCAAAGGATAAACTCCAAGATGTGCCTAATGTATCATCTCAAGAAATTCAAGAAGGACAAATTGTGATAGGAGAGGCTTCTGGAACTTCAACAGAAGCTACAAAACCACGTAAAAAGAAAAACCGCTGAATTTTTCTTTTTGTAATAAAACACGTATATGTTTCCAGATATTATTGATAAAGTGATGTGTGGCTATTGTTGAACATACTTCCTTCAAATTTTTTACTATATATTTTTATTATGTATATTCTTGAAAAGTATTAAATATTTTTCATGTAAAAAGTTTTAATATATCTCAAATACTGTTTTATATCATTTAGTTACATTTATCCTAATTGTTTCTTAACCCGGGAGCACACGTGTGCTCATATAAGTTACACGAGCGCGCACACTGGATCCAAAAGACCCGTTTCGTATTTTTTGAAGAAATGTTGTGAATCTTCAGAAAAAGCGTTACATCTATGCCAATAATAAATTTTGTGATCAAACTTTAAAAGTATGCACATTAAAATTTTTAATTTCTCTAAAAATTTTTTAAAGGAATAGAAAATCATATTATATATTAGCATTAGGAAAAAAAATAGTATACCTTTACTCTGTATTGATTCATTATTAGCAGTATAGACACGGAGAAAAAATACAACAACAAATGTTAGCAGCACATTAAGCAAAGTATTGTCGTGTGTTCCAAATACAAGTATTTTTCACATTCGACATAGCACATTATCTTTTTTCTCTGTTTTTTCATTGGACAAACACTGCGTCTTTTTTTCTTCCTTGTTTCTGATATTTTTTTCCCAATAAAGCAGTTTATGTCATATCAATTTCTGAATCAGTATCATTGTTAACTAATAATTCATGATCACTTCCTTCCTCATTTTCTTTAATACATTCTTGATCAGTTGCTACATCTAATAACTTTTGCAACATTTCTTTGTTGTAAGATAAATTGTGGGACATGTTTGCCGCTTTTTATGCTATCACAAATCAACTATGTAATAGTAATACAAGTATGTGTGCTGTGTCTAAAAGACCCAATTCAATCAACATCAAGACTCCGAATTTAAGCCCCAGCGAAAAAACTTCAGTATCATAAAGTTGTCGATCTCAGACATGACTACATTGGACCTGAATAACTTGCGTGAAATATGCGTGCTTTGAGAAAGGTTTGTTGAATCACTCAAGTCCATTGGACCCAGTGCACATGCTCGTGGGTTAATACTGATTAAAATTATCCCAGATATTTAGGTTATACTATATTATAATTTCATTATTTTTTCATTTGAAACATTTAGAGTGACTGAACGTTATTCAGAAACAGTAGTGCTAATATAAATATTAAAACAATTTAATGTACAAGTTAAGTATGGAAAAATAAATTGGATCGAATTAAGTTGTTCCTGGATTGAAAAATTTCACAAGGAAATATTTAATTGTTGTAATTATTCATTAACTGCTGTGATAAAATAGAAACACATATCTAAATATAGATAGTTTTTTCAATCCTTAAATATTTATTTAACTTCCAGTGCATGGAAAAAAAAAAGAGAGCAATTCAACATTAAAGTGAAATATAACTCCATCTAACTTTGATAGATCACCTCTTCAATCAAATGATCGAGTGCAGTAGAAGCAACTACATCTATTCAAGCTGTTCCTTTACATGCTTTTTGCTTGGTATATTTATTCTTATATCCAGGCATACAGTTTTCAGAATGAACTAATAATAGGTGGGCTTAGAAGCTTTTGTTATTGACTTCTGTAACTATACCTATTGATGTAATTTTACTCAATAATCATTCTATTTTTGATCAAGAAGCTCTAGGAAACAAAATATAATTACTCTTCATTCATTATTCCTATTCTCTCAATGGTACATTTGGCTCAACAGATGTTAAGTGCTACAATGATATTTCACATTCACAAACATTTATGCTTTTTCTGAATTCTAAATCAAGCCCACTGATATGGCATCTAGCTTTGCAGTCACCATACTACAGCATTTTTCATAAATGAGCTGCACTTTGCAAATGTGGATGAGCATTATCGTTTATCTGAGGAAAATATGAACCAATCACTACAACATAAATTTTCATGTATAGTTTAAAACTTATTGCTGATGTATTTTCCATTCATAGTTCCACTTGTAAATATGTGAAGGCCAAAGAATGAAGTCAGCTCGTACAAACACCGAACAAAAATCAAGTGTGGTGTTCCGTAACACTATTGGTATTGGCTGTGTGCTTTTTGTTTGTCTAGACCATAACATCATCCAATCAGGCAAATTTTAAGCAATCAGGCAAATTTTAATTTATCTATGAAGAGACCATCAGATAACTATGCTTTGATTCAAGTCACCTACTGATGACACCACTTTAATCATGCATCCCCTGGATATAGGTCTCAAAAGGGGCATATATACAAACTTGCAACACTTGAAGATTTGAATCCTGTACATCTTGAGTAGTAGGTCATCTTCATTTATTTAATAATAGTTACTCAGAAAGCTAGGGCTGTCACTTGACAATTGCATATATGACAGCGATATTACAGATTGTTAATCAAACAGGTTTTTTAACCTTAAGACATTCAAAACAGAAATCTCATATCTTTGGAACTGTTTTCATAAGCAAAAATTAACACAATAGAAATTCTTTTCTTTCATAGTAGATTGTCCTTTAGCACTTGTAGTCTTCTAGCACTGTACTAGCATTGAGAATTCTCCAAATGCCTTCAATGAAGAATCATCAGATCCAATTCATCTTCAACCTAATTCTAATTCATCTTCAAAAACAAGTCTATGAATGTTAAAGCTGTTGAATGCAAGTATGAAGCTTTTTCACATTTGATTGAAAGGTATAATTGCTATTAAATACTCTATCTGAATCCAACAATAAATTTTGTGTAACAAAATCTCTATGTATATATAATATTTGGAGGTTAAAGTACATGATGTTGACTAGATTTAACTTTTAAGAGAAAAAATTCCATTAATATTTTTTTGCTTCCATTCTAGTTAAGTCTTGCATATTTAATTTTACAATAACTTCCTGTATATGTGTAATAGTGAAACTTTGTAGAATATTTTCTTTCTTTTCTTTTTCTTTTTTTTTTTTTTAAAAAAAGCATAGATGTGCCAAATTTTGCAAAGGGAAACATACTAAATCATATAAATGAATTCCATATGATTTTAAATAACTGAGTATCCATGTAAATGCAGAATTTATTCTTATTGGTTTGAGATAAATAAATACATTATTGGAATGTTTTTAATTGTATATTTTAAACACCCTTATAAATGTATTTCATGTGTATTTAAAATTAAAATAAATTTTCCCAAGGTGACTTTTATAAATACATAGTTGAAACATTCTCATGTGCATAAAAAAATTATGCAAAAAAATGTTTAGGTTTGTCCATATATTAGTTTAGTAGGTTTTCTTCCTTGTTTGAAATTTTACATCCTGAATTTCTCAAAATGTTCTTTGGAAATGATTTTATTATATTTTCAATATTATGCATTTTTGGAATTACTAATATTCAATATTTTTATGTATTTTTCGAAAATGAAAGTGTATTATGTACTTCTTATAAATTCCCTTGCTTGCAAAATCTAAGCTTATAATGTACATTTTATGATCTATTAAATTACTATTTTAATTTTGTTTAACGAAATCCTTTTGGGAAGTGTTTTAAGTGAGTTTAAATGTAATTCAGTTTGAAAAAGAAAAAATATTTCTCATGTGATGTTTATTAAACATATCAGTAATCCCTTGAAATGTTTCTTTGCAGTGAGAAATTGTTACTACAGAAAAAATTTAGCTTATGCATTAGTCAGATTAAACAACAACTGTAAATTAAATTAAATGACCAAGTTTTTGCTGATCTCTGAGATGACTGAGAATGCTGTTTAAACTGCAATGTTTATATGTGAGTACTTTCGCGATAAATGCTACAGAAGTCTCACTTGTCTTCAAAGAAGTCTCACTTGTGAAATTATATGCAGATTTGAATCAATTTTTCTATGACAATTGAAAAGTTTATCTCAAAACTAAATTATAGGTAAAGCTGATAAACACTTCATGCTCCTTAGAATTTCATTTATTTAGCTTTTCATATAACATCAGACTTATTTTAATATTTATATTAACTAAAAAAACCAGCTTTTAATGATTATTATTTAACTGCTTCCTTGGTTGCTTAAAATTTTACATATCAGAGGTTTTCAGTTGAGTGAAATATCCCCTTAATAATTTCAGTAGAGATTATCTTAGATTAATATGTCCACACTATAACTAGCAGAAGTGAAGTAATTAAAATATTTTGTTAATTTTAAACAATATCGTGTAAGTACGTAAATATATATTTAGCAAATATAATAAATCTTGAATTTATAGTTTTGTTTATAATATGCTAAAATAAAATATTTTCAGTTTTGGATATGGCATATTATTTGAAATGAGTTATTTAAATAAAAGAATTTTTTTCCCTTGGTGTGGGGGTTGTGTCAGTGATATTTGGCAAGAAGGAATGGAGCACATGCATATACACACCAAATAAATAAATAAATAATAAATTATATATAAATCATGTAAATTATGTAGGACCTAATGTATTGAATAATTTTAGAAGAGGCATTTATAAATGAAAATGTATGTAACATCTTTTTAATGAACACAACTGAAAAAAATGTACTTGTCAAGATTTTCAATATATTCTTATAAAATTTTAAAATGCATATTAACTATGGTATTGCCTTTTTTTTTTTTCAAATTTAAATGTGTAATTTAAAAATCAAAATAGTTGTTTGAATTCATAGGAAATTAATCGTGATGAAGTATTCCTGATTAAAATAGAGCTCTTTTATTAAAGTATAATAATGTTCATTGTTATAGCAAATTTAGAAAAACAATTATTTTACCTTTTAAGACATTGTTATTAAATTGTAGTCAGGAAAAGTGACATAAGACACTATTTTAATGCCTAATATTGAATTATAACTTTCAGAGTAAATATAAGCAACATTGTTCCCCTTTTTTTCCACGGTTGTCAACAGCAGTAACCAAAGAACAAGTAGACAGAAATATTTACCCAGAGCTGATTTTATTCTGTAACAGCAAATACCAACTTTCTTATAAATTATAATAAAATTCCCATATAATATTCTAGTGGTAAATGAGAGGGGAAGTGTTTGAAAAAAATAAAATAATAAACATATTTTTAGAAATTTATGCACATACCATAGCAATTAACATTCTTATTTAGCTAAAGCATATAAATATATTTAAGTGTTTTCTAGCTGCAATTTGAAAATCAATTTTTAAATGGAATATATTTGAACAAATAGCTTCAAAACATATTTCATAATAGATATTTTCTTTTAAACTTTATCTGTTATTTTATGGGTGGGTTATTTCTGGGTATATTGTCAATCTTCGTGCTTGAAGTTTTACTTCTTTTGCAATGGCAAATAGGCCTTCATGTATAGGTATATATACATTAAATTGTGAAATTATAGTTCGTATAAAATATATTTTCGCTTGTATAAACTGCTTAAATTATCTGGTTGTAAACTAATGGCATTTACTGTATGAGTACTTGAATTTTGCAGTGGAAAATTAAGTATGTTGTAATTTACAAATTTTGATTGTGTAATTTTTGGTATTCTAGTGCTATTTTATATTTATTATTTTTACAAATTTGGCAAAAAAAATTTTTTGATGATGCTATGTAAAAAAATAAATATTTAACTTCGAATGTAATTTTCCTTTTTAAATATTTTAGGCTGAGCTTGTCTGACATGTTTATTTTCACATTTAGAAGTTATAAAAAAATGCTAGTGTTTGGTATATATATTATTTTTCATCATTTGGCAGAATGTATATGATCCTTAAAAATGTTTTCTTCTTGTTACGAATTTTTAATCTTTATTGCTCGTTTGTACTTAGATATGTGTTCTCAAAATAAACATAAAGCATATTAATATATTTGTACAAAGTGATCAAATGAAATATACCCAGAATAATGAAATTATATTTTTAAAATTATTTCATATAGACATTTCTGGTGTAGCCCACAGTAAAAGAAAAAGTGTCAAATTTTTCCTCCGCTTCATTAAATAAATTTCAATGCAGGCATCATTTGATGACACACCAGATGTAGAGAAAATGGTTTCAACGTTTATTGGTGTAGTTTTAACCATAATGCTTATTAAATTGGCATTTAGGTGCTGAAAGTTGCTGATTTGATTGGCAGTATATTTCATATAAACTCTCAAGAAATATCTAATGGTAGACATTCTGATGATCAAAGTTTAAATCCTAGAAATGGATGGTTTTGTGTAATTCCATTTTATTATCAGTGATAGACATAAACTGCATGATTATTTAGCTTGTATACAGCCATGAATTCCAGCTGATTAGTTCACATAAGTAAGTACCAGTTGGTGCATTGAAAAAAAAAAAAAAAAAAAAAAAAACTGTAATGGCCCAAACCAGAAATATATATGACAAAATATTTTCTATAATTTAACTTCATTATTCTGGATATCATTCATCTGAACATCCTTCTGTTTGTATTCAAATCTTTTATACATATTTTAAATTCTATAGCTAAGAAATGTATTACATGATTTGTTCAAGTACTTATTTTAGTATGAAAACGTATTACTCTTTCTTAATACAGTCTTGTACATAAGTGTAAAAAAGAATATTGTTGCCTTATGAAATTAAAATGCACATAAAATGAGCTTGATCCTTATGCTATAAACCACAGTTACAGCAAGATTTCCATTAAACTTCAATTAAGTGCAAGTAGATTTTGCACTTGTTTTCAATAACCAAAGAGTGTATTACCTATTAATATTGCTATTAAAATGTGCCATCTGATAAGTATTGAAAAAATAAAAAGATAATTATAAAGCTGTTTTATATAAAGAGGTCATACTGAGCACTATGCTTGAGCTCTCTAAATAAAATTGCATAAGTCAGTTTTAAAATTGATTACTTAATATTTTCTATCATAGTGTGCAATAATACAGTTGATTTTTGCTAAGCTTTCCTGTACTGTAAAAACATTTCATATTCAAAATTGTAATAAAGTCCTTTATTGTAATTAGAGAATGTATATAGGTATGGAACTTTGATAATGATACAAAAATAAAAGAATTAGTTTCTATGTTTATATTTTTGTTGCATATTTGATACAAAGAAACACAAGCAGTTTAAATAGCATCTAAGAAATTTGCACTAATAATCAGTCTTTAACATTAAAGAAAAATTGCCAGTCTGTTATGTTGAAGAATAAATTAACATGTATAGTTAAATGAAGTTAAAACAATATAAATTATTTTAGGCTTACATGCTGAAACTACATTTAATGAAACCTAAAAGAGCTTTTGCAGATAATCTGTCTGCTTTTTAGCTAGAGCTAGAATGAATGGGTTGGTTTAGTTTTTCTTCTTTTATAGCTTTCTGCAGGACTGCTGTACTCAATGAACATCATAATATGTGGAAGGTTGAATGTAAGGTCTCTGTTGCAACATGGTGGTTTTCTGGCAATTTCAAGCACTTGTGTAAGGGTGCTGGGGTTTGCTGATAACTGTCCCATTCAGTTATTGAAGTGGATGCTTGTAAGTAACTAATGATTTGATATTTTCCATAATGGAGAAGTTGACAGAGAATTTATAGATAACTTTTTTATGCGTAGCTATTCTTATTGATAGTTTTCTAGACATTGAACTGATGTACTGAGTTTCTATGTTTCTATCTTTGTTGATCAGGATAGTATTTACATCTGAATTATCTACCATGGTAATTTTTATCTTTTTGTAATAATTTGCTGATGTAACTGGGGTAATTGCAAGTTTATAATCAAATCTTTTGAAAACAGAATTGATGCTTGGGAGATCAAATAGTAAAAGAATATTCCAATAAATTTACTTTCATTTGATTCTTGCATCAATAACTACTTTACTTTTTGAAAAATAACTGCAAAAGATAGTATGTTCCAATAAATTTACTTTCATTTGATTCTTGCATCAATAACTACTTTACTTTTTGAGAAATAACTGCAAAAGCTAGTCTATTGATTTTCTTGGCAAAATTTTCACAA